AAAGAATGTTTCTCTTGAAGCCAGAGTAATTTCATCTTTGAGCAATAAAATCAACATTGACTGTTGATTTAACTTTTCTTAAGCAAGTCCACTTAAGTATGTCTTGAGACCCTCTTATTCATGATATCAAGAATAATTCTTCCATATTTCATGATCCCTCTTAATTTGAATTCAAGAACAACCTATTCTATTTCAAAGGACGTCTATATGTTCTAGAAGGAGAAGCACGTTTACGTGTTCTTCAACCTCGTCACGACTTCCCAACAGCTGGACATTTTGGATATAATAAGACTTTGGAGTTGATATCTAAAGATTTTTGGTGGCCTCAAATGTGGAAGGCAGTCAAAGATTTTGTACAATCATGTGATATTTGCTCAAGATCAAAAACTCCTTGTCATCGACCTTTTGGACTTCTTCAGCCATTACCCATTCCAGAACAACCATGGTCTTTTGTTTCTACTGACTTCATCACGGATCTTCCAATCTCAAGTTCTTATGATTCTATATTCGTGATAGTACATCATGTTACCAAGATGGCACATTTTGTACCATGTACAAAATCTATCACAAGTGAAGAAACAACTAAGCTCTTTCTTGACAATATCTATCGCTATCATGGATTACCCAAGGATATTATATCAGATAGGGGAACTCAATTTGTATCAAGATTTTGGCGGATTCTTTTCAAGATTCTAAAAATGAATATAAAACTATCTTCGACATTCCATCCTCAAACTGATGGACAAACGGAGCGTGTTAATCAAGTTTTGGAGCAATATTTAAGATGTACCATTAACTACCAACAAGATGATTGGACAACTCTTTTGCCATTGGCAGAGTTTGCTTACAATAACATGATACATTCTTCTACAATATAAATACCTTTTTTTGCTAATTATAGTTATCATCAATGGTTTGATACTTTTGACTTTTCAAAAGTTGATAATCCTGCTACAAAACATTTGGCGATTCATTTATCAGAGCTACATGCAACGACGAAGGCGCACTTAAAATAGGCTCAAGAACAACAAAAGGTCAATGCGGATGTCTATCGAAAGGAACAACCACCATTCCTCTTGGGTGATAAGGTATGGCTACTTTGTCGCAATATGAAGACTATTCGTCCTTGTGACAAATTGGACTATCGAAGGTTGGGACCATTTTCTATTTCTGCACAAATCAATCTAGTTGCATATCGTTTACATCTACCGGAGTCAATAAAAGTCCATCCACTATTTCACGTGTCTCTTCTTGAACCATACAAGATAGTGGACATACCAAGAAGACGACAAGCTCTACCTCCTCCTATAGAATTGGACAATAATGAAGAGTTTGAAGTAGAAGAAGTCTTAGATTGAAGGCAGCGTCGAAATAAATTAGAATATCTTGTCCATTGGTGCGGATATGATATTAGTGAATGCACATGAGAGCCAATAAAGAATCTTACAAATGCAGCTAAGGCGGTGGAGGCTTTTCATCCATGACATCCATCAAAATCAAGATGAAAACTTTCTTTATAAAAGAAATAACATGTAGGCAAGATAACATTCTACTTTCAATCCTTGTCCGTAGCTTCTTTGTAGTTGTGATATTCAAGAGATGGAGAACTAACAACTAGTGGATTCTACTCAAAAGCTTTCATTTGCTGACTTGCCGAATGAGACATTACGATTGTCACAACCTTTAAGACGACGCAATTGAGATGAAGATCTTCAAGAACGACATGTTCTTCCTCGAATAGATGGTGAGATACAACGCGTTTAGTATCATGATTTGGAAAGGGACTCCCGATATTTGGTGATTCTGCTAGAGGTAGGAACAACTCCTGATGGTGTTCCAAATGTTCTATTTGAAGGAAGTTATGAAAGCCTCAACAATGATCAAATAACTAAGTAGTCTTCCCGTCCTGGTATGAGATACTATCGATGGTTGAGAGGCCCTATCAATCATCTTCGAAGAAAACAAAGATCAGAGTATGTAGCGAATACAATTTGTCGCATTATAGATTTCCTCAACATATGATGACCGCTCCTCGTGGAACTCGTCCCTAGAAGGTGGGGTAATGTCACGGACATACTCATGTAAGCTAGCAATTACATATACAATAGATAAAAGTAAGTTAATTCTATAGTATTTAATATGGAAGCTTCCTAGAAGCTTCATAAACATTACTTTGACTTCATAGGTGTCTTTAATTGACTTTTTGGATTAGAAACGTGGTCAACAAGTTGGCCATGTGCCACACATGTTATTAGCTTGAAGATTAAGCTAACTATGTGGCCCACACATAGAAAAACTTGCCTTGTAAGTCAAGGCATGTGTCCTACAAAGTCAACACATATTGGAGGTCCTATAGAATGTCACTACGTAGCCCCTAGGTAGATAGAATATACAGAGACAAGAGTGAAGCCTTCTTCACTCTTGTCAACTCCTTTCTTGCTTCTAGTCTAATTTCAAGGGTCTCTAGTTTTCTTGTCTTTTAGAAGTAGCCATTCTAGTTTCTCTTTCAATATACATACTTATTTATTTATATTTTGTTACCTTTCTTTGAATGAAGGCTCACTTGTCTAGATTGTTTTTTCATCGAGTTCTTATCCTTGACAGCATGTAAGACAATGATTACTTGTATAAATAGGTAGAAATAAGTAGAGGTAGATAAAAGCAAGTTAATTCTATAATATCTTCTAAGATAGCTTCCTAGAAGCTTCATAGATACTACTTTGACTTTATAGGTATCTTTAATTGATTTTTTGGATTACAAACGTAGTCAACAAGTTGGTTATGTGCCACACATGTTATTAGCTTGAAGATCAAGCTAACTATATAGCCCATACGTTGGAAAACTTGCCTTGTAAGTCAAGGCATGAATCCTACAAAGTCAACACATATTGGAGGTCCTATAGAATATTGCCATGTAGCCCCTAGTTAGATATTATATATAGAGACAAGAGTGAAGCCCTCTTCACTCTTGTCAACTCCTTTCTTGCTTCTAGTCTAGTTTCAAGAGTCTCAAGTTTTCTTGACTTTTGGCAATAAGTCTTTCCAGTTTCTTTTAATATATGTACTTCCTTATTTCTATTTTATCACTCTTTCTTTCATACGGATTTTATTGGTTTATATATCATCTTTTAGTTCATGTCCTTGATAGCAAATTGCCAAAGAAAACAGTAATAATATCCAGCAAGGTCCAAAAATGAGTGGACTTCAAAAGCATCCTTAGAGGTTGGCCAATCTTCTATTGCTTTTATCTTGTCTTGTTCCATGCGCATGCCTTCGAAAGATACTACATTCCTTAAAAAGCTAACATTTGTCTTCCAAAGTTTACACTTTGATTATTTGTAATAAAAGTGACTATCACATTAAAAAAAATTGATTTATAAATTAATTTTTCTTACTTCATACCAACTTATTGCAACTATTATTGATTAATCATTGCTTAGATAGATGTCATTAATAATAATTATTAAATAAATTGATATATATATATATATATATATATATATATATATATATATTTAAGATTATTAATTATCTTTTTATCAATTTTATATCTAAAAAATTGATTAAAATATTTTAATTTGTTTTTATGCCTCTTCAAATCTAAAAGTTCTTTTATTCTAAACTTTAGATTTTTATTTGTTTTAATATTTAAAATATTTATAATATTTATATTTATTATTGAATTTAGTAAAATATTTAAATGATTAAAAATAAGTAATTAATGGCCTCAAATTTTAAAAATCAAACATGCTATAAGATTTATTAATCTTACTTGTATAACATTAAAATCATATTGTATTATAAACTTTAAATTGACGTAATTATTTTTTTAAGAGTTTTTTTTTATTTATATTGTATTATTTTTAAGCTTCTTCAAGATACATCTTTGTTATTATATAAAGTCCTATTAATCTACTTGAAAAAATTATTATATATTAAAAATAAAAAATAGTTAAGTGGTAGGTAATAAATTTGATTACAAAATTATGGCATTTAATAAGAAAAAGAATGTAATATGATATAATTAAATAAATATACTAATGGCAAATAAGTTTTAAATTTTTCTTAATAATAGTTAATTTTATATTACAAACATTGTTTTGCTGCTCAATTCATGCACTCCATTTGTCTATAAGTTTATCATTTGCATTTTGAAATAAAATGGTTTGTAAAACACCTTTAAAAAAGTTAGATAAGATTTGGGATTTTCAATCAAATGTAATGTCATTTAATACATATTCCAATATAAAATCCATAAGGTTTTTAGAAATACAATTAAATGTTATGGGACTAGAAGCACCTTCAAAATTACAACACCATTTTTAAGATGATTTTGCAACAAGAATGAGTTCTTTGATGCAAACTTCACATTTAAATTCAATCATCAAAACACATCTTAAAAAAAAATAAAAATAAAAACAATAGAGTAGATTTTATTATTAACATCAATTTGTAACAATACTACATCTATGAAAAAATTTGAATGCATTTTTCCATATAGTCTTACAAAATATAAATAAAATGAATTAGGATATAGAGTAAGTAATATTTTGAAAACCTTAAAGAATTTTATTTTTGCATCAATCATGTTCTAATTTTACTGTAAAAAAACGTTGATTCCACATCACAATGCAAATCATAATATTTGGACATCATAGTGGACATTATATACACCCGTATATCCACCAATCCATCCACATATATCCACCCACATATATCCACAAATCCACCCATTCGCGCACGATCCATCTGGCACAAGTACGTGGCAGGTGGGGTGCCCAGGTGGCACATTGAAGAAAGGGAGTGGGGGGATCGGAGGAGTCGCACCGCCGCCGCAGCGGCAGCGGTGGCGTCACACATTCACACAAAACAACAACAACAATAACAACACCACCACACAAATGCAGCAGCAGATGGGATTGTCGCAGGGGGGTGGATCCATGGATTCGTCGTCCATCACGGCAACAGCTGCATTCGGAGAGAGAATATTGCCATATTGCGGATACCTCGGTTGCTCACACGGACGGATCGCACCCCAAGCGGAGGGAGAGAGAGAGATCATCCCTCCCTCCTTCCCCTTCTTCCCTCCCTCTCCTCCTGCGGTGGATAAAGCAGCGCCGACGCATGCATCGGCCATGCCATGCCATGCCTGCCCAGGCCCCGAGAGAGAGGGCAAGCTTGCTTCCAGAAGCTTCGCCGAGGAGGAGGAAGGAGGGCTGATGAGGAGAGAAGAGGAGGGGTGCCCGCTATTTCCACCCTGCTGCCGGGGCTCAATCGCTGGGCTCTCTCTCTCCCTCCCTCCCTCATTCCCTCCCGTTCTCGCCTCCTGCCCTTGAGTGCGTGTGTTTATTGTGTTGTGGCTCTGGATGAAGAAAGCAACATGAAGCTAGTAGCTACTACTTAGCTGATGATGCGCTGTGCTCCTCCACTGCGCTCGGCACTTGCTTCCCACCACGCCCACCCACCTACTCCCCACTGTCTTTCCTTCCTGTTCTGCCTGTTCTCATTATCCCGAATTAGCCCTCGGGAGGGTCTCTCTCTGTCCTTGTGGTCCTTGTCTGCGCGTCTTTCCCTTTCCCTGTGCCTTTCTAAATTAGCTCTGCTGCGTTTAACTCTCTGGTGGTTGCTCGCCACCTTGCGTGCTACTTATCTCTGCTTCTTCTGCCCCTTTTCTGCTTCTTTTTCGCCTTCTGTGGTTGTCGCCTCCAGCTCTCATTGCAGCTTTTTCTTCTGTTTTGGTGTTGGTGGTAGCTTACGGACGATTTAGCTCTGTGGATACTCTTACCGTGTTCTCGCATGGTAGCGAAGGAGCTTAGGATGACGACAAGCATTGGAGCCTATCGATGCGTTTTGGAGGACTTGCACGACGAGTGTCTTATGTTTTCCAGGGCATGCAGGCTGTGTGAACGACATAACACGCTTCCGAGATGTGTCCCTGCCTTTGCCGCCTTCTCACCCCAGTATAAAGATTGTGTTTTATCCTTGATCTGAGTTTCTCCCGTGTTTTCCTTTTTGGGCCATGTTTAGATTTGTTAGAGACTGATGTGGGTTCATGCGCACGCAATGCACGTGGATTCTCCTAGTTTCCTTGTAGTTTAAGACGTCTCATGCAAGCTCCCTTACTCTCTTTCAACTTCATCAGTGGGAGTACGCATCTCTCAACCTCTTCCTGAACTCGGATTGAAGGACTTCATTTAATGCTTGCTCTTATGAAGCATGTCCTGGATTTAGAGTCTCGTTAAAGTACGCGTGAGGGACACTGTTTTGATTATCAGGTTGAGCCACTTCGTGATGTTGTGAGTTGCCCATGGCTCCGGTGGCTGCTGTATCAAGGCCGCCTGGAAGACCGAAGCTGCGGTCCAAAATCGATGGAAGACCTGCAATATCCGCCCTCTGCACCGCTCGGAATTTGGATAGGTGCACCCGGCAGCTGGGCCATTGGAATCCGTTTGCGAACTCAGCTGCTGCAAGCCCTGATCACAAATTTGGAAGTAAAAGTTTGAGAGAAGAAGGCCAACTACCGGAGCCAAACCCTAACTTGGGCTCTGGTACTGTCTGTTATGACAATCATCACCGCATGTTGGCAGCTGAGTCTTCGAACGTGTTAGTCAGACCGGAATGCTGGAGATTCCCAGGTACTGTGCAGCATAGCACTGAAAGTAGAGGTTCCGAGCCATTTCCTTCTTTTGGAGAGAGCTGGTTCTATAGTGCAACCATTTCGGGTATAGAGAAAGGGGTATTCGAATTTGGCAAAGTACCAAGTGAGTATGGCGCTCGATCGGTACACGAGGGTAGAGTTCATGGTTGGAGCAAGCGCCGGAAGCAGCTCTCTCATGCACTTGCTCGGGGTTTATGGAGATGGAAGGACGGCTTCCACGCACGGAAGAGGATGAAACGATGCGGACCGGGAGGCTCTCGCAACTCTGGTTCAGACAAGAGCAGTGACAGGGCACCCCATGCAGTACATGCTTCAGATCCATCTACTGCACCGACTTCGAAGGCCGGCCCTTTCAAGTGGTCTGATTTCCCCGTAACTCCGACCGACTCAAGTGGTGAGCTTTTCAGTTGCACAGGAGGAGGCAGTGGCAGCAACTTGGTGTCCGAAATGAACGCTTTGGGCAAAGATTGGACAGCTTGTAGTTGCCTTCGCGAGGATGGTATAAATGGAAGAGCAGATTGCGACCAGTGCTGGCTTGGTAATGATAATCAGAACACTGAGTCCGGCTATGGAAGTGAACCTGGATATAGAGGTGATGAGGAACCAGAGTTCGGTGATATAGATGACCAAGATGAAGAGGAAATTGAACCAGAGCATTTACGGGTATGGAGGCAGGTTATGTCCCGTCACGATGGGCCTCAATGTTATAAGATACAGGGAGTGAATGTTCAAGGTACTAGTTTAAGCCCCGCGGGTGGATCGTCAAGACTATACTAGCTGTTTCGAGTGAAATGCATATTTTGTTGACACCGGAGTGTGAAGCAGGTTCTTGAACACTTATCTTGAATCGCGACTGAGTTTGGGTTGTGTTGATGTCCTGTGTCTTCGCAGCAGGTGGTATCGGTGCTGATTTTACTTGCACCTCACGACAAACATGCGCCGACTGACGCCCGCTGCCACGCGATAGTACAAGTACGTCTTTGATCAATGGTAGTTCGTTGCAAAGAATGTCTGGTGCATCTGGTACGTTTTCAGTGGTTTGTCTAGCTTAGTTAATGCAGGTTTTTGACATGACGAGTGTACAAGATTTAGTCGTTTATACCATGTTGCTAAAGAGGTTATTGCTTCTTTGCAGGACCGAAGTTCTCTCAAGTGTAAGGGCAGGGGGTGGTTCTGTATGCAAATGCAGCCTCCCCCTCTCGTGGTGATTATTTATTGGTTAGTTACCTCTATTTCATGACGGCGATTGTAGTAAATGTTTATATTTCACGTGTAATTGTAAAGTTAAAAGTAGGCTCCATTTTTTGAACACGTGACGACATGCATCACACGCAACTCCACGAAGTGGAAGCATCGTGACTGAGCAGGTTGCCCCATACTTTTCAGGCTCCGTTCAGCGTCATTTACCCACGATGCGAGCAAGTCTTCATGATATTTGGGCTGACAAAACTTCCAATGTGTTCTATGTCTGAGAAATCTTACAACTCATTAGTTGGGTATGTGTGTTACGAATTTAGCAGATTCACCGTCGCTTTCCTGTCATACGTGCAATGAATCGTACGAGTTCTTAACACTTATCTTCCCCTCTGTCTTCGTGCATATCTTTTGCTGATCATTTCGAGGTTCGGAAAATGAAAATAGCTTGTATTGTTTATGAATGGTTGGATTTCTTGGCGCATGTATAATGCATGTGTTTCGAATTTGCAGTGGGGCCCTTTTGGGTGTTGGGCTCAAACTCGCACTACTTCGAAGATTTGAGCTGTGTCCGTAATTATCCATCTGTGATGAGCACTTCATGACGGCAGTGCAGAGGAGTACCATGTTTCTTGTTCTTAGTTTCAGATACTGTTACTTACCAGCTTTCCTTACCCACTGATTTCGGTGTGTTGTGGCTATTTCATTCATTTCTTGATTGGGTAATTCATAACGCAGTTCAATGACTTGGTGTTGGATACATGCAGTACTCGACTTGTGCTTCTGAACATGAATTGACGGCTAACTCTGTTCCGGATTATTTAGAAATATAGTGAATTGCAACGAATAGATTAATGAAGTTGACGCTACTGAAGTCATGAGGCAGGCTACGTTGTATCGTTCCAAACCTGCTCGTGGGCATGTAAGATCATCACCATGAGTTTGCGGCTGTGCTACAGGGTCTGGAAAGCCGTCTTGGCGTTAATGACCCACTTCTTTTTACTTGAACTGCTCAAAACGCGAAATGCAAACGCTTTCTAAGAAAAATGTCGAATTAATTGCGATGAGTTCGAAATCTTAACAATGTCATCGTGGTTGTATACGTATGTTCAGTCACTACCGGTGTTACAAGTGTATCGATGAAACACATGGAAATCCGTTCGTAGTTCTCTTCGGAAGACTCGCATCTAATGTAGTTGAGCCTTGAGCAGAATATTTCCAACCGTTAGTAACCGGTGATACACTGAGATGACCAAAAAGTATCCTTTTTCTGATAGACAGATTCGTAATTACCATCACTAGAGCCATTTAATGATACATTCTCGAATCAATTTTGGACATACTGGACAATTTGCGTTCCAGAATCTAGTTCTCTTAGGATAGAACTGAAGTGATTTGGAACATTCTGTACTGAGAACCTGTACGTCGAAGCAGCAATCGGCATCGAGTTGAGCGAGGAAGACTTGCTGAGACCGTACTACGGGTGGGGTGGTCAGTTGTTGATCTGACTTTATGGGTTTTGCAGGCTGATGTTCCAGCTATGCCTGGTGATTTGCTCCACATGGTTTTTCACAAGTGAATTGCTGCTGGAAGTAAGAATGTACTTTAAGCTTTTGTCCTCCGCTTTGCCGTGAAGAATTGGCGTGAGGACCAGCTCTGAGTATTATTCCTTAGAATATTGTTGCTGTTAGTTTTTTTTTTTTTTTTTTTTTTTTTTTGCCGGGTGCCATTAGGAAGAATTTTTGATGTGCCAGCATCTAACAGCTGGCACTCAACAACGCATATTAAAAGTGGATCACAAATTCTAAACTGATTTGATTTGAATGTGGTCATAGTTGAGCAGAATTTCTGCGTCAAACACACTTTTTATTTTTTTGTGGAAAGAGACAAATTCTGTTCACAAATGTGGAGATCATATGTCCACGTTGAAGGTTATATTTTATCCATTGCATGTGTTATAAATTAGACTCTAACAATCGGACTCCTCAAAGGTTTTACGATGACCCGAAGTTATGCAAAAGATTTGAAAGAGCAACTTGCAGCCATGTGAGATAATGCTTTGTGTCAGAGTTTTACCACATGGTTCTTTCAACCCTGCATTGGCACCATACTATGTGTAAGTGCAAATAAAGGGTTGTTAGTGCCATAATACAAAAAATCTATATAATTCTGTAACATCCAAGTATTACATGTTAGATCAAAAATAATATCATGAAATGCATGCTTTTACACTTAAGCAAAATAGCCCAGATCGTCTAAATGAAAAGGTAAGTTTGTTAATGCAAGCACAGAATGAAAATTTAATATTTTTAAGAGGCACCTCTAAATGTGTTTTAATTACACATTTTAGTAAATTACTAAAACGGAGGATGTGAATTATGTTAGTATCAAATTTTAATGGTGACATTGGATTGTATATAATTAGAATACATAAAAGCCATAACTTTAACTTAGAATATTGTATTTTTGTATGTATACTTAATAATTAGATATAAATATGCAAGTGAAGAATTAATGATTGAAATAGTATAAACCCATTTGAATGAGTTTTATATTGTGTGAATTGTAGTAGCACTTTTGCAACATATTTAAGAATGTTGTGGTTGAGTGAATGTGTATGTGTATGTATATATATATATATATATATAAGCATATGTTTCAAAAAAGAAAATCTATATTTTAAACTGCCAAATGTTTTTATTCACATATCATCAGGTTAATACTATTGGTTGTAATTGATATTCAACTAGTATAAAATAAAATAAGTAATTTAAACAGCAGAATATAACACAAAAAGTTCAGTTCCCTCAGTTAAAAAGAAGAATTTAATTGATTCAGTAAAATTGCCATGGATTAAGATCCATGATATAAAAAAATCTATTTTAATTATATTTCAGACTACAAATTTTTTGTCTTTTTAATTAGGGCATATAATTATTTAAGTCTACTAGCATTCACGATTTGAGATTTAAATCTATCTAAATTTAATTTCACGTGTTAATTTATTAATGTAAAAAGATTCAATGAAAACTTCTTATGATTTTTGAGAATGTTGTCAATGATTTTGTTAATTTTAGCTTTTTCTAAGGACATAGGATTGTACTACAATCAAAGTGTCATATTTTTGTAAAGTTTGATGTCTTTTTTAATCATTTTCTTAGTAAAAATAATCACTACATATACCTTAAATTAAAATATTTTATCAATAACATCAATGTATAAAAGCAAGAAAAAAAATTATTAAAATAAAAATGCACTAATTAAAATAAAACATGTACTACTATTGTATTTTTAAAAGTTCAAGCAAAAAGCAATTACTTGAAGTAAAGTAATAAACTAAGAAGAAAAAAAAAATCCAATACAAAATACAATTAATAGTTATTATATGCTACCTCAAATAATTAATAATTAAGCATAAAAGGTTGTATAAATTCTATATTGTGACAATTGACTCTTGGTAGAAAATCAATTCATTTTGTGAGAGAACTGAAACTTATGTCTTTTAAACTTATGAACAAAAAAAACAAAAACAAAACAAAACAAATCAAAACAAAACAAAATTGAACACATCAAGAATAATGTTGCCAAGAAATTTGTTAAAACTATAAATGTTTCCATGAGATATATCATCCTTTGTACATTGTAGAAACATATATATATATATATATATATATATATATATATTGATTTCCATAAATTAAATTTGCTCATGGTATCACACCAATATAAAGTACTAGATTCAGGTTGATTTGCAATGTACGTAATGTATCATCTCATATAGATACATTCTTAATACATTCAATTCAAGGAAAAGAGAGATAGAGATGGGGATTGTATGAGATGAATTCATTGAGTGAAGGAGGGAGGGAGGTCTGTGCATCAATTTCTTGATGCTAAGGATGATTAAATTTTATTTGTTTGTTTGTTTTTTTTGTTAGTCTTTTAGTACATTCCAAGTGTGTGTTTTATCATTTCAAGACAGTATCTTCACTTGGGCTCATTGCTCAAGGGCATGTGGGTTAACAGCAAGAGAAGCACGCAACCCAAATTATTTTGGGCCCCTACCCAAGTAGTGTTTTGAATTAGGTGAACAACTACTTCAAAATGGTTCATCCACATACCCATTTGTTGTTGGGTTGGATGAGCTTGAGGACTGATTTGTTTTGTCCATGGCCCCCACAAATTCACTCCAGCTTCATTTTTGCAACCTTGAATGGTTGAATGGCCACACAAACAGGGCTTGCTTTGCCATAACATGCAGAAGACTACAACAAATGACAATGGAGGGTAATAATATATCTATACATATATATATATATATATATATATATGTAGATTATTGAAATTTCACATGATGATTTGTTTATGCCCATCTATACAACATTTTGCAGAGTACAAATAATAGATACAAAATCAGTATTTGTTTATTCATTTATTACTTCAGCATTGAAAGTTTAATGGAAATTATATAAGAGAAGGTATCATAATAAAAATGTCTGATTCAAAAAAAATCTATTTTTCGTTTTTGAAATAATTTCTCTTTAGTGCAATCAAAACCTTCTCAATTGAGTGAGATTTTAGAATTTTCATGATCTCTTACAAATTTATTCAACTATGTATACTTTCACTTATCATCATCATTTAATAAAATAAAATAACAAACAAAAAAGACATCATTGACACTAAAAATAACATGACTTTTTTAAGGTATTTTTTATTTCTTTTTTATGTCACAGTGATACCTATCTTAAATTTGATTTTCAGAATTTTAAAAGTTGTGTCTTTAAAACCATTAATAAATGCATTTTAGATGTTAAGAGAGACATGACATTGTTGTGTGTGAACATTTGTAAGACATGTCAGCATATTGTGTATATATATGATAACAAGACATAAATATGTCTGAAAAATAAAAAGATCAGGTTGTTGTTGGTCCTTTTCTTTCTTTTTTAATAGTTTTAATTGTGAATAAATTTTGTTTTGCTTCAAGTTTTGAGTAGTTATTGATCTTACTGAGGTCAAGCAACAATGAAACTTGGCAAGATTAAGTATGCAGATAAGAAGTGGTTTGTTTGTTTAGAAGATATCAAATTAAAGATTGCCAACAATAAATGTTCTTGTGATAAGTAATGAACAGTTTTAATTTTATATTTGTATAATTCAAAATTTCCCTCTTTTGAATTTTGTGCACATTTTAAAACAAAACAAAATCTACTTCCTAGCCATAAATAATCTTCAAAAACATATACAGTGATGAAATGCCCTTGGTTCAAATATTAGTACTTTGGAGAGAATAAGAGATTGGTGATGTATTCAGTATGACGTACGAAATTACTCTATCTCATGAAGGCATTTCTCCAAAACTATGCCACGAGGTAATAATTTAAAAGGACGTCAAACAGTGAATTGACTCTAGCATAAATTATTTCAAGCCACAGTTGTTCCGGTTTACAGGAAGATAAAAATTAAGCTAATGAAAAGTGGTAGAAATCATAGGTTGACTTTTGACGAAAATATAAGCATTAGAAGAGAATAATGATGTACTGTAACATAACCAATCAATGGTACTGCATCTGAAAATGAAATGAATGTACAATCTATTTCAAAGACACTGCGATCAATTTGTCTAAGTGCCTTCTCTGACCGTTTGACAGGCATTCACGTGTTTATCAACATGACAGAAACTTTTCCTCTGAAGAATTGTCAATAAAACCCACTTTGAGGAAAAAAGTTATGGAATGATCTTGAGGATCACCACAGCCCATCCTACTGTTCCCTTCTTAATGTATGGACGACAGCTGCTGAGGGGAGTGGAGACTGCGGAACGCCAGTAGGGGAAGCCTGCGCGCTGATGCAACCAGCCCAGCTGTAAGCAGAAATCAGTAAATGACGGAAAACATAAAATGGACGTAGATACCGACCAGCCATGTTCGTCCAATACTTTCCAGTGTAACAGCCAAAGAGGTGACACGTACACATTTAACTCCTAAAGCCTTTTCCAAATACTGCAAAAGAAAGTTTTCAGGACCTGCAGAAAGATTAAACGGTTTCTCATTAACAAGTCGGTGCATGCTACTATTTCAGTGTCTCGACATTCTGAACCAATCTAGACTTGACACAACGAACGCAGGACTAACGGCGACATCTCCAACCAAAGGAACTAATAAAGCCAAAACCGGCATGGTCTCCTGGTGATCGACTGAACAGCGGTGGTATCAATTACGAACTTGGAAGATTTTCTTCCAATGCTTTACAAGCCCAAAACTTGGGTAAAGAATAACAGCTATTCCTCATGGTTGGAGACCAGGTACTCCAATGTCTTCGTATACCAGCTGTGTTGCCTTCGGCGATCACTACTCCACTATCGTTGTCCTACCAAGAAATACTAAACTGAAAACAAATGTTTCAGATGCACGACATTTCCTTCCTATATTGACAATGAGGTCTATCTGTACTTATGTTACCGAAAGTTACAAGCTTCAAGATATCATGCCTACCATTCTGTGCATCATTACGAGCCATTAGAGGCAGACCACCGAAGCACGTGACATGCGACAAGATTGATTGCAAGCCTTGCTCTCGCCAAAGGTGTCCTTGAATGCGAGGGGCGCACATTATTCCCAGGATTTACGATCACATTAACCGGTCCAGGTGGTACACCGTTCTGCACATCGGCCACCAATACATAAAAGCTATTATGTCAGGGTATTCAGGTGTCGACTAGGTATGTCTAACAAATGTGGGACACTCACGACCGATCTTGAACTTACATGAGCGGCATTCGAAGTTGTAGAAGGTGCATCCAGTGTCACAACTAGTGACACTCGATTCGAGTTAAGGCAAGCCACGCTCGCTGGCGTCACATTCCTGCACTTCTTCACCTTCATCTTCACCAAGCTCGGGCACCCGCTCACCAGTGCCTCCATCCCCCGGTCCGAGATAGGACACCCCTTAATACATAGTTTTTTCAGCGCCAAACATTTGTCCGCTATGCACGACAGTTCCGGGTCTCCGAATGTGTCGCTCGTGCAGATCGCCAGACGCTCCAGCCGGGAGCACTCCGATGCCACTAGACTCAGGCTCGCCGATGTCGCGCTCACCCCGATTATTACCAGCTCCTGCAGGTGCCTGCACTTCCGCGCCACCATCAGCAGTCCCTCGTCTCCAACCCGACTACTCTTCATCACATCCACGTGTAGCTTCCGCAGCAGAGGGCACCCGCTCGCAACTGCAGACAATCCCTGGTTCGTGCACTCTGTAGGCTTCACCAGGTACAGCACCTGTAGATTGCTCCACCGTGCCACAGCCTTCAACCCCCGGTCCGTCACGCCCACCTTTTCCATGTGGAACTCTACCGGACTCGTCGTATGTTCCGTGATAATCTCCAGCAGAAGGTCCCAATTCCCAGGCACCCGACTCAGAATCAAAGTGTGCAAACTCTTCGACCCCGCAATCAGCGGTCCCAGCAGCTGCGCGCTGGGCAAATCCTTCACACACAACCTCTTGATGCTGCAGGAGCCCGGCAGAACGTGCTCGGCCGTGCTCGGATTGGGCATGACGAACCCCCGCAGCCGCTTCACTGTCAAGTCCTCCAGATTCGAGCAGTGATACAGCACCGCATTGATCCCCCGCGGTCCGAATTGACACGACCCGCATGAAAACTTTCGCAACGTCCCCGATACCAGCTCCGCGAATTCCTCTAGCCCGCGGTCCGACAGCCCCTTACATGCCTTCAATTTCACCTTTTGCAATTGCCGGCATGCCCGTCCCACCGAACACAGAGTCTCGTCATCGATGCTCACCGTCCGCCGGTCGCACTTCAACGCAAGTTTTGTAATGTGCGGAAATCTGTCCAGCAGACCCGGCAGCGCCAACCCTAACTCAGCCACAGCGTGCAGCGACAACCTCTGCCTCCCTTGCCCCTCCACCCTGTGCCATCGCTTGCACACCAACGCACATCGATTCCGATCTGCCGTTGGGAGCTTCCGAAACACAGACGCCACGCACTCGTCTGGCGCGTACAGGGTCCAGTCATTTCCGTCCTCGACCTCTTCCTCCTCCTCGTCCTGCTCTTTGCGATGACCCTCCCTCTCGTCGTCGTCTTCGTCCTCCTGCACGCGACTAGGGTTCCCAGAGCACGCTGTTACCGTCGAGGCTCCCTGGCCCATTCTTGCTACTTCACAAGAACACCTCCGCTCCCTCACCACACCTATGTGAGCATTGCCATGGTCGCCCTGTTCGCACGACCAGCATTACAGTGCCACCATTACGTCTAGGGCTGCAAACTAGCCATTCCCTATCTCGCTCGCGCTCATTCTCTCACTCTCCCTCTCTCGCTCTCTCCGTAATCGGTCTGCTTCAAGCAACTCCACGACACAAACCATCATCATCCGTGGCTTTCAATGCCACATCGTCCAGCCTGTCGCGCACCACGCGGTACCGCCAGCCATGGCATCGAGGAGAGAAGGAGGAGGACGCCCACCATTCCTTCCCCCTGGTTGTCAGGGGCGCTGCTGCTGATGCTGCTCCGAGGATGACGAGCAACCTCGCAATATTGATCCGGGGGGGAGAGGGGCAGAACAATAATACACATTATTAAGACCAGCTCGCGACTCGCACAAGGCAAGGAAGGCAGCACCAGCACAAGCACCAAAGCCTGCCTGGAAGGAAGGAGGCTCTCCAGGACGCTGGGCGGAAAAAAGATAAAGTACAACGCCCCCTGCTGGAAAGATGTGTGGCGGGGGGGGGGGGGACAGAGAGGGGGGCGGAGGGCAGAGCCAGGATGAGTCTGTGCTGGATGAGGATTGCGCTGACGTGGAGGGTGGGTCCGGTATGGCCCTCTACCAAGAATCCCCAGGCCGGGAATGGGTTCCTCCTCTCCCATCCATCCCTGGCTGGACCCCCCCCCCTTACCCGTCCCCCTTTGCTCCTCCTCCCTTTTCTTTTTCCTTGGATGCGTTGTGTGCGTGGGATCCTGGTCCAGGCTGCCCCTACCCCTAATAACCTGCCCCAATGGAACCGGTTTCACACCGCCTCCTCGTTATTCATAATGATCATTGCAAATTGTTAGAATTTACTATTATATATTAATTTACTGCTGCTGCATATAGGTTTGATTCTTTTTACTTACAATTTTTTTATTTTCTCAAGGCTACATTAATGGTCTTATGTTATTTCTTTTTCAAAGTGAAACTTCATATTCAAATATCATATTAACCTTGGCCATTCAAAACTTTGTTCACAAAATGAACCAAAATTTCCCATACTCTTTTCTTTTCAGCAATTTTACATTTTCTGGAACCTTAAATTCTTACAATATTAAATTTAAATTAAATTTTAAAACCTTCTCAAAGCTTAAAAATTTATGTAATAATCAATTTGCATTGATAATAGATATTTATCTACACAAGTTATTTGTTTCTTTTTAGAGATTGATTATTTAGCATCAAATCTTCAATAAAAATAAATAATTTATAGAAAATATTTACATCATTCAAAAATTAAGGAAGAATACATATAAGGAAATGATAACGTGATCCAAATTTTTAATAAATCAACCCACATGTTTAAACCATCGTTGTACCCTTTCAACCTATCCCCATTTGTAAATGTTCTCTTATTTCCAACCATTGCTTTTGTTTCCAATGTCCCCAACTCCCTACTCTTGTCCTTAACAATGGTTGGGAATAGGAAATGGCTACGAGCTGCAAGAATGCAATGATGGTTAAAATAGAGTAGATCACTTTAGTAAAAAATTGGATTGCTTATCATTCTTATATATATATATATATATATATATAATCATACATAAAAATAAGTTTTATATTTTAAACTATTTACATACTTTAATTGTTAAGTCTACAATAATACGTGACAAAGATTTATATATGTGTGTGTGTATATATATATATATATGTATCGACCAGCCAACTTTTGATTAGAGCATCAAATAATTCCATTGGTTGGAGCAATAGGGTGGTAAAACCTAGTTACAAATTTAATCTAGTTATTCCCAAGTTACCTAATTATTGAGATAGGATGGAATGGGCCAAGTAGGCAATGATGGTGGCAACAATGGCGCAAATTAACTCGACTTGCACTTAGCTAACATTAGTGTTGTTTTTTTTGTTTTTTTTATTTTAAAAAATAATAATAATAATTACAATAAGAGGCATTAATCAATATATTATGATTTTATTTTAATTTTTAATTGATTGCCAAAAATGTACTCGATATTAGCAAAGTTAGTGGTTTAACCAGTAGTTTATATATATTTCAACCTTTGTATGATTAAATTGTTATTTTTTTATTTATGTATTTAAAATACACGGCTTTATTTTTTATCATGATGTCTTTATCTTAAATAAACAAATAAAAACTCATACATAGAGATTACTTATCTTAAAAACATACATCTTTTAATTTTTAATAAACTTTTAAAGTTATTATTTTTTATAAAGAAATGCTCAAATATAATTATTTGAAAATATTATGCCTTTTTATTATGATATAGTTATTTCTTTTAATATTAATAAATGTTTTGGAATAAATTTCTCTTTGTATATTTTTTTGTTATATCATAAAAGGTCCACATTTAAAATATCTTAAAATTATCATAAATATTATTTTAAAAAAATTAATGTTATCTAAATTTAATCAATTCTTCTCAATACATGATAAAAAAAAGTTCATTTCTATCATCAAAAGATAAGAGATACTTAAACCTTTTAAGTCATGTCCTTTTTTTAGAATTAAACTAATTTAAAATATATGTATATGAACATTTTTATTATAATATATTTATTAGTCAATCACACAATATAAACTTAATTTTATAAAATAATATTTAAATATCAAATAAAATTACTAATTGAATATATTTTAAAATATGTATATTTTTAATAAAATATGAATGGATTTTTTAAAATTTTCTAATTAAAATATCAGATTTTAATATATACATATATATATATATATATATATATATATATATTATATTATAATTAATACCATTGCAAATTTTGTTAATGGTATCACAATTTATTCTTATTACGTTTTTATTTATGTTTTATCAAAGATACGTTTATTTTTTTTGCATAATTTAGAAAAATATGTATTAAAAGCATTATTAGGATTTTTGTAAGAAATAAAATAAATAAATAAATATATCAATATTTGCCTTTAGTTTGTGATGGTTTGAAACACATCAATAGATGATAGAAATTGTTACAATGGCTTATTGATGTATTCGAGGAGCATATGTGGCCTGTGATTTAGTGCAAGATACTTTATAGAGACACAATGGCACCATGTTTATACCAATTTGAATGGAACCAATGAATCTTTTATTTCTTAAGCAAAACAATCTATAGTCATGTATATAATTGAAGCAAATATAGAGCTTGGTAAAACCCTAGGTATTCAAGGTGCTACTATACATACTGCCAATTACTTCAATTAAGAGAGCCTCAAAGTCCCTCATATGGCTTTTTAGGTGCCCAAAATTTTCCTAAGCTCTGCTTCATATCCTACTTTTTTGTGGTGCTACTATTAGTTATTCTAGTAATTTTTATTGGTGTGACTTTGTATAATCTGCTATTATTTTGTAATTGTGTTGACACATAGTAATTTCAAATCACCCAACTTTGCTTGGAATATTTATTGTTATCATTGTAGTGTTAATAGTCAAATAGGTGGAAAATTATGGTGGCATTAACAATACCCTATGTATATAGTGAAATCATCAACATCTGATTTTTAAAAATATTTTATGAGAAAAAACAAAACTATTTATATCCATAAGAATTTTGATTTTTTAGTTATTGTATTTTAACTATATTAAAATATAATAATTATTTTAGAGTAAAAATATTTTAAAATATGAATAAAGATATTAGTCATAATATGTATAAAATATATGTATTTTTAGAATAAATACTTCCATAAAATTATATAATGTATAATAGATTTTACTGATCAATAAATACCACATTAATTTATTAATTGTTGTACATATGTACTTTTAATCAGCTACATAACATGTTATGTTTATTAGTTTTGTTTAGAATTTTATTATCTTAAGAGATACTGAAGTGTAAATTTAGTTTGTAATGTTTGGATATACTACTGAAAGTAGCTGTATGTTTTCAAGAATACTTATTAGTGGAAGAACTTATGCATTCACAATTTTACAAAATGAAATTTTATAATATTCTACAAGTATTCACATATATATATATATATATATATATATATTTCTTTTTTGTTTTTGCACTATATTTACCATAAATTACAGTGATGTTACAAAGTGTAAGAATGTTTTGGTGAAAAACTTTAACTCTGAACTATGAGTGTGTTTATAAATTAGAACACAAAATGTAGGATTTGAAACCCATATACGATTACACAACATGAAAATCCTATTTAATAATTAAAATGAGGTGTGTGTATATATACATTTTTAAAAAAAATTAATCTTAAATTTAATTAATTAATTGCATTTAAATAAATATACATGTTGTGATTCGGTAGTATTCAATAGAAGTTTGACAACTCAAATCATTATATCATTTCGAAAATGCGAATGATGATTCAATTTAAGTTCACATATTGATTTGTTATTTTGAGGCTCGTACAAAAATATTTATGTGGTTTATTAAAATGTTGCACTCATACTGTAATGCTGCAAATGGATTTCCAGGTAATTTATTTGATTTAATTGCAATCAAATCAACCAATCAATATAAGTATTTAGTCGACAATAGAATTTATAAGTATCATTCCGATAAATTAATCAATTCGTGTGCCTTTTATACCATATAAGTCTTTGGACGTGAAAGCTTAGTTTTTCTAATCAAGCTAATTATTTGTGACAGCACACATTGTAATTAGATGTAGTATTTCACCTGAGTTTCATTTATGTTTTAAAATTGTGTGTACTTTTTTGTAGCCCTTTTAAACTTCATGTCAACTGTCAATCACAGCTTTTTATTTGAAAAGTGCAAAGTATTTATGTATAATCTTGTTCTTAAGTGTTGTGAATGTTCATCAACTTCAATGGATTCATTCAAAGAGCAAGAAACACATACAAACACATAAATACACACACACACACACACACTCATGTATATATATATATATATATATATATATAAACTGTAAAAATACCCATTTAAAATTTTGAAAATGCTAATTTTTACAAGTTTGGACATTTTTCATAAGGGCAACTGTGGAAGCTTCATACACATGTTATATTTCTACTTGTTTCTTACAGTAACACAGTATTGGTTTGCAAAACTTTAAGTTCAGTTTTTAATTCCATCATGTATGATTGTGTCATACAATTTTTAATGTATGAATTGCAATTATTTTGAGACACAGTTTCCATGAAGCAGTTTTCCTTCCATGTTGACATGGAACCAACAAGACAAACAAAATATCATGATGCCCTCCACATAACTCTCTTTTTCTTTTCAAAAATTTCAACTGGGGAATGAGTGAGCACTACCGGACGGTATCAACTCCATCATTTCTGAGCATTTCCTAAATTCTTCCTTTTTTTTTCCTCTCTTTTCTTTGCCTTCATTTGGGTCCTAGTCAGTACTAACAATGCAATAAGAAGATAATAATAATAATGAAGAATGCTGACAATCACACACACAATGGCGTGACATTCATCATCGTTGCCTCTCTCTCTCTCTCTCTCTCTCTCTCTCTTTTTCTCTTATTTTCTTCCCCCCTTTGTCTTTTTGAAAAATGTCAAAATTATAAATAAATTTCCTCAGGAATTCAGCTAGCAATTGGGGACTCATCGTATCTGTACAAGTGGCAGAGTGGCAGCTTTCAATTGCTCATGGAAATGCGTACAAAGACGAGGAATGATCTTCTCTGACACTGCCAAGCAAGTGACAACAAAACCTTCCATTGGAGAAAGGAGGAGGAAGAAAACAAAGAAAACAGATGAAGTAAGAAAGAAAAAGTGGAAGAAAGGGAAGAAAGGGGGGAAACAGGTTGACTTGGGGAAGGGGGAGAGGTATTGCAACAGAACTTGTCTGTTGTGGCCCTATTGATGACAGCAACAGACAGACATCAGCCAGACACGCAATTCAATTGGAACTGCAACCAGATCACAAAAGGGACATGGTCTCTGTCTGCTCTCGAAATATACAAGAGTACACCCACACTGGGGCATTATTTCTGCATCAATTCCATAGGCATGACTTACGATCTTTTGTTGACAGGGACCCCACAAAGAAAGGAAAAACATGAAGAAATAATAGTAAAGCAGCAGCAGGGAGAGCCACTTCTTTCTTTATAATGCAGTCAGTTTCAACTGGTAAAGTGTGATCCACATTACATTCTTCAGGAGCCCACCCTAAAGAGCTTTCATAACAGCAAGCAACGAATTACGTTGTTCATTAATGGGGTCCATTCATTAATGACCATCAATTGCTACTAATTTGTTTACAGCAATTTGCCCACCTCAATGCGTCTTACAGTTGAATGAAGCACTTAAAAAGCTTACATATTGAACTCACAAAAGAAGCGTATCGGTTGTTGCCTGATCAAAGCAGTCGGCACGAATAGTAATTTATGGCACCATGGCATCAAGATGGACTAGAAAACATATTTACTTACTTGAAGGAAGGAAGGAAGGAAGGAAGGAAGGAAGGGCATACGGTTTCAATGCTGGCATGAGAAATTTGACCGAATTCAATACATGGGCTACTGAGTGGGCAAGGCAGATTTCGAATTTTATAAGAGTAGCCAACAAAAGAAAAAAAGTAAATACACAAAGTAATTAAAAGGGGAGAGAAAGATAGATATTCAAGCATTAGCGGCACCACGTTTTTGTTTTGAATCACAGTTTTCTGGATCTCCTGCTGCCAAACCAGTATATAACCCCAACAACGGCCAATCCTAGGGCTAAGCCACCACCTGCTTGAAGCGCCCACGTCGAAGGGTGGGTGAACAAGAGGTTGCTCTCGGACGAGGTGATAGAACTCATCAATGACATCTGTGGAGTAGGCTCCGCTACCGTCAGTGCAAAATCAAGACCTTGTTTCTTTAACATACTAATATCCTTTACATGTGGCCGTTCTCTGGCTGCCTTGGCTAGTGCCGCATACTCTACCTTGGACCCTCCCTCCAGAAACGCCCCTACCAATCTCCCATTGTGCACCCAGAAAGCCCCGAACTTGCCTACAATTTGGTCACCGAATAGCACACTATCACCCACGTTGTCGCCGTAGAATTGCCACGACAGCGTGAAGACCCGGGAGTAGAAGTAAGGAAGGTAGTCGTAATTGTCCACTTTGTTCCCCATCAGGATGGCCTGCACAGCGTGAGCTGCAGACTTGCGAGCGTGATCCACATGCTCCAGCCTCCTCACATCGCTGTACATCGGCATGGGAAAGGTCGCCACGTCTCCCACTGCATACACGGACGCATTGCTCACACTTTGCATTTTGCCATTCACTTTGATGCCCCCTTTCTCCAGCATGAGCTGCCCTTCAAAAAGGTCCACGTTGGGGCGTATACCGATGCCCACAACCACAATGTCTGCGTCTATTCGACTTCCGTCTTTCAGTATGACTGCAGTCACCTGGCACATCGTAAAACATCGTAAACACCGCTTTAGGGTGAGAATATGGGTTCGGTGATGGTAGACATTCCATCCCAAAGGGCAGACATGGCACAATTGCACCAGTAAGCAAAATGAGCATCAGATTAGTACTAAGGCGACACCTACAAAAATAATAATAATAATAATGATAATAAATTCCGAGGCATCATGACATTCTTCGAACTCATGATACAAATCCTTACAATGGCACGAGGTAAGGAGAAATCTAACACATAGATGTAGATATCTGTACACATGAGGAGACGTCATTCCTAAGCTTTGAAGGACACATGCATATGGTACGAGGTGTTCAATGCGTTGGACTGATACAAACTTATAATAGTACGAACATGACAACTACCTAGTACGAACACCACATAAAACATGACGGCGACAGCGCGTATCGATTGGCTACCAAAAGAGTTATAAATACCATCAGTTTTTTTATTAATGGGCGAAATGATACCTTGTCCGATTCGTCGCACTCAAATGAAGACAGGACGTTCCCTTTTCGAAACTGTATACCCTTCTTCATGTAGTAATCTTCATAATATCTTGCAATCTCTGGTGTAAATAAGCGAGGCACTGTAAATACCACCAAGTCCATTTAGAATACTCTGGACGTGGTATGCCAATGGCAACCTCATCACGCATCCAACTACAGTCCACTCCACCTCAATGTCTCTCAAAAACCAGAAGCCACTCTCACTAATTCGGATACTGCAGTGATAATGTTGAAATCACGTCATATTTTCCCTGATAAACTAGGGGCAATTGATTCTTACTGCAGTAATCTTCCGGGAACACCATGGTCACAGGAATACGATTCCCGTGGAGGGCTGCGGCACACTCCATCCCAATGTAGCCACCGCCAATCACAACAGCCTTCCCGCCTTTCTCCCGACACTCTGCCATCGCATCCACGAGATACGTCGCATCTTTGATGTCTCGAAGGTAGCAAACGTTCTTTGCATCTGCTCCCGTGACCCCAAACTCATCCAGCTTCAGAACCTGCTTAATTCCGAAAATCTTAGACCTCAATTACATTTCAAAATCTACTTCCGGCTTACGCCCCGAGCGAGGAGTATATCTAAACAGTGAATAATCCACATAAAGGACGTGCTACTTGGAGATCATGTCTCTTTAGAAATGAGCCCAAATTAACTTCCTATGTACAGGGAAAATAGGGCCGTACCCGAGCGCCCGTTGCAACAATCAGGATGGAGTACGAAATGGTTTCACCCGCAGCAGTCAAAAGAGTTTTATCTCTAACATTTGCTTGTGTAACGCGAGTTCCCAAAACCAACTCGATCCCTGCAAGCGTAAGATGTTGATGGGTGAGCTTCCTTAAGCTTACCAAATCGTTGCAATCATCTGGCGGCATACGATGGCAGGGAGGATGAATTACCTTTTTCTTGAAACCATTTAGCAGGATGCGATTGCTCCCCCACACCCACACACGTATGAAAAGCAGGTAACCGCGCAGGTTCTGCTTCACAACCACAAACCAACGCTTGATTTTGCCACCATACTCAAAACATGCTCCAATAATTTATTTTTGGAAGAAATAATAAAAAGTACATCACAGTTAATTTGAAATTACATACAAACTTAGATGATGCAAAGCTGAAAATAATACTTGCCATGTACGTACCTTTGGCTAACAAGTATCCCTTACTCAAAGCAGGGCGCTCATATGGTGCAACCTGCATGATCCATCTTCCAGATGTTAGCCACAGGAATAGTTCTGCCCTAAATAAGTTTTTATATTACCAAAGTATGCATGACTCGCACAGACAGCGTCCATAGTCTATTTCCAGGTCTTCGACAGACCCTTGTGGATTCGGACATTTCAACTACACGAAAACCCCAGTATTTAGACAGTGTTGAATATTCCTAGTTGAGCGTATACATACAAGTGTAAACTCGACTAACTCAGTTGCACGTAGCGAACGATCGTTGCAAAATGGACGACCACTAGACCAAACAGGCGACCAAATCAGCCAAACCTACGAAATTCGACAGCTATAACCAGTAAAAGGAACAAAACGACTTTCGTGTGAACCATAAAACTGAAATAGGAGCGACAGCGCAAAGATGAGACATCGATCGACCCAATTTTTACTTTTTTAATTTTTAATTTTTTTTTTTGAACTCAAAGCCCAACCGCCGGAAAAAAAAAACCAAATAAAAATCAACATAGTCACGAGCTGAAGATTGTTCCAAGAAAGACACCGAAGAATGGCTATTAAAGCAATAAATCATAAAGATCCAGATCCACACGGAAATTCAACGAACATATCCATGTCTCAATCACCCGAAATCACGAGGAAAAGGGACAAATCAAATTGAATTGTAAACGCAGTTGCTGGCAGACGCACCATTTCTTGCGAGATAACACACAAATCCCCGGGATTCAACCCATGCTTCACGAACTCCGACGCTGCGTATCCGCTCGCCGTTCCGCCCCCGAGGATCACCACCCTGAACGATCGCCCCATGGCGGAATCAGCTCATTCCCTTCCTCCCTCTTTCCCTCCGCGGCAACAACCCCACTACTACTTCCCACGCCCCAAATTCCGTTGTCCAAAGCTCACTCACTCACACCGCGACGACGGCAATCACTCCCTCGCACCCAATGCACCCTGGGTCGCAGCAGCAGCAGCGCCCCGCGCACCACGGGACGGGAATTGGGCATTAAAGCAGCAGCAGCAGCGCGGTGACGAAGCAGCTGGGATTTATACGTGATCGGGGAGAGGGGGTTCGGATCGGGATGACGATGACGGCGATGGGTTATCCTGACGCTATTGCACCATTCCTCCCTCCTCCCTCGTCCTCTTCCTTCTTCCTCTTCACCGCAAATCGGCACCGCCGCACCTCCACTCCCCCACCTTCGGAAACTTTGCACACCCCCCGACCCCGCCCCCTTTTTTCCCGGCCCCGTTGAGATAACGGCGTTCATTCGTTCGTCCGTCCCCTTTCATCGCGTGGTCATGCACTCTGTTGATTCCACCGTTTCCCATCGGGATGAATGGATGGATGAATGAACTGATGAATAAATGGATGAATGGATGGATATATGAATGAATGAACGGGTGGATGAATGGGTGGGTGGATGGATGGATGAAAGTTTGGATGAACGTGTGGATGGATGAATTCGTGGATGAATTTGTGGATGGATGGAATCCATAGACTGTCTTTTTTCCGTGCTTTTTTGACTTCCGTGTGCTTTTGTCCATCCCCATCATGGTGGGGTGGGGTTGATCCCATGCCACACAGCTTCCTTTCTCTTTCTGGTGTGATCTGTTGTTCCAAAGTACTACTCCCTACTACTACTACTACTACTACTCTCTCTCTCATTCATTCATTCATTCATTCATTCATAAGTGCATGCCCTCTCATTGAATTGATCTAAATAATACTAAGAATGTAGTTATTCGTCATATTTATTGGTCCAACTTTTCTAATGCCATTATAATATGTGATAAAGCCAACCCTAGAGAAATCCTATTTTTACAACTATGACAAACATTTGCAAAGATACAAGCCTTTGGATTTGGTTACAGGTGAATATTCATATCAAGTTATTCAATAAATTGGCAATCAGAATTGCTTAAAATACAAGATTTTTTTTTGTTCCAAAAATTTATTATGTTTTTTTAGTAAACTATTAACCATTTGAATATAATATATTAAAATATGAATCACTATTGAAAATACACTAATGATTCTTGCATATTATTAACATTATTTAAAGAACTTAGAAAAAATTTAAGTTATCTTAAAGCTTAACATTTTTATAGATGTACTTAAGATTGAATTTCAAGCATACTTAATTTACAAAAGATGGATCAATTTTGCCCCTCTTTTAATTTTTTAAACATGTTCAATACATCTAATAAGTTTGAATAATTAATTTTTAAAGGTACTTTAGATCCTCAATATAATTTCAAAGAATGCTTTGTTATACTAACCTAATATTTTTTAATATTTTTTAATTTTAATAAAATAAAATTTCTAAAATTTAATTCTGTAAATCCTGCTAAATTATAGATATATATATTTTAAAAAATTGACTTTGTAAAATATTAGATATTAGTGGTCAGAGGGTTAAAAACAATAAACCTGATGTTAACACAAGTAAGATGGTTGTATATATTTGTATTATATATATATATATATATATATATATATATATTTTAACTATTAATAAAAGACACTGTTGAGATTAACAATAAACTTGAGTCACTTGAAACTAGTTTACTGTAAATAATTATTATCAATTATGTCAACGTTTTTATAAATCAACTTCAAAGCTAATCTTAAAATAAAAATAAGAAGTAATCAAATTTAATATTTAATATTTAATATTTAAAATTCTATAATTAATTTAATATTAAAATTTATTCTTAAATTTTATTAAATCATTGACCACCAATTTTCAAAAGCTTGTTAAAAAGTTAGTGTGTTGAACCTTAAAGTTACAAAATATAGCTATAAAGTAATATATTACATAATCATATAAATATATTTAGTTAAAATCCATATTTAAGCCAAATTTATGAAATAAGAGCTAAATAGCATAAATTTGAGGAAGGAAAATAAGTGCCAAGATAAAATAAGTAGATAGCATTAAATAAATTAAAGTATTAAAAATCAGTATATTATATTATATTTTAAGTTTTAAAAATCAAATCAATTTTTAAAATTTTTATTGATAAATTAATATGTGTAAATGGATATGAATATCATAAATTATAGTGTCAAGAAATGATAGATATGTTATTAATTTAATAAAAACTTATCTATTTTGCAACAATTTTTTATATTATAGTTCTAATGTATCAGTAGAATTGGACTTTATAGATCTATTAAAAATGACTAAAAAGTGCAACAAGTATATTGCAATTATGACTAAATAATTATTAAAGAAAATGAATATGATGAAATTAATGGACAAGTTTAGTAAAAATAATAAAAATACAACAAAGTCATTGAAGAAAGTAAAACTTAAAGTTTTTTTTGGGTTTACTAGTTTTATTTTTTATTTTTTATGAACAAAATTTGAATACATCTTCTTCTTCTTGTAATATTTGTTAAATTATTAAGAATATGTGCTCTTAAATATAAAAAAAATAAATCTTTTTACAATGACCTATATAGATATTTTGAAGACATAGATATAAAAAAGTTAAAAAAGTGAAATTTTATTTCAAAAAATTATGCATGCAAAACTTGAATAAAAAAATTAAAATTAAAATATATATTTTCTATGCCACTATCTAAAAAAGAAGCTATCAATATCAAATACAAAAATTTGTGTAAAAGTAGTATGTTTATTTATAATAAATTATTTCAACAACATTTAACATATTAGCAAGTTTTTTACTTAAGAAAATTATAATAAAAAATTTAAAATTTAAATTAAAAAGATAAGAATAAACAAATTTAGAATAGTCATCTTAGAAATTATATTTTGTATCATTCTTCTATCATTGATGGTCAAATCAATCATTAATTAAGTTCAATTTTAGGCAATTAAAATTTTATGAAAATTTTCATAATAAAATTGGCATGTGCAATGTTTAGGATTACCTTTAGACCTATTTCTAATAAATAAGTAAATTTTTCTAGGATGTATGAATAAATCCAAGAAACACTAATATACCTTTGTAGATGCCACAAATATAATTGCAACAATTTAAGATGTTCTATTATAGATGCAACTTTATTAATAACTTAGAATGGAAATAAAGATGGCTTTTTACATTGTTACTTTTTATTCTTTGCACATTGAAATTACTTACTTATTTAGTTATTTTATTTCTTATAATGGACCTATATATGAGTATATTAAAAATTACATCTTTAATAATTGTTTGATCAAGTTTGAAATACACAATGTTATGTATATAACATATGAAGCAATGAATGATTTATTTTATTTTATTGTTATATATATATATATATATATATATATATATAATAATACTACAATTTTTGCTATTTCCACCATAGTTTCTACTATAGCCACTACAACATGCCACCCACTTGACATATTTCTTTAGTTTTTATTTTTATCCCAATTAAGAATTATGTTAATAGGTAAGACATATATGTATATACATATAATTACATAGAGAAAACATTTAATTTTAATAAAAAAGATTGAAAAAATAATAAAAATAAGGTGTGGTGGCATTAGCAACACCTTATGCATACATCCATCCAAACTTGCAGATCAATATATACCAACATTGTTTGTCCCATTCGCATAGAGCAACATGTGCATACTTTTGTGAGGACCAAGTGAAAAATGAATGGAATATACAGGGCACACACACATACACACAGGTGTGGCAAAGTGAGAGGCTGGATCCTTGCGTGGAATAGAAGAAACATGGCAATGTAGACTTAGTCCACATAGTCATGTCCTATTGAGGAGGTCAATATTGACATAGACTTGTCAAAATGATTCTGCACCAGTGTGCAACCCAATTTACTGCATGAAACTTGTGAAGAGTGACTTGGATCCAAACCTGTAGAAAAAGACTAGTCTGGACAATGACCATCTGAATAGTAAAGTAGTAGTATACCTGAGAGGAAGGTGAAGAACTGGAATCATAGAAGTGCTCAAATTAATCAACCCACTTGCATGATTCCTTTGCCCAGACTTTTTTAGGGTGGTGGTGGATTGGCTATTGCAGGCTTTGATTGCTTGTATCATATCAAGGGTAAAGAACTAAAGCAATGTATCTGAACTAGGAAAAAGAACTTGTGACAAGCTTTCAGTTTTGCCACAGTGTCATCTCAAAATCTGCATTTATTTCCAGTTTAGTGTTCATGAAATTTTATAATACATAGACAAGAGGTTGCAAGCTCACCATGAATTTTATCCTCTCATCTTGTTTTTAAAAAAGAAATGATGCTCTTACTACCTTAGAGTAAACTATTAACCAAGTACATTTTAAATGAGGCTTTTGCCACTGCTAACCCCCCCCCCCCACCCCCCATAGGGCCAGTTTCATTTAGAACACATTTGCTTAATAAAGCTCCATTGTATGAAAAATGTGTTAGCTCAGTTAGATACTGCACCTTAGGATCTTTGGAATGAATCCTGCATCTAGGTGACAGCCTTTAACCTCAATTTATTCATGCAAAACAAAACAGGCATCACTAAAAAGACTTTAGTATTTTCTCTCTACATCATTGATTTATATTGTCATATAATAAATTGTATTAAACTCCAGCTCTGTATCCATTTGAGGATCACATGATCAGCAGTTAGATTGGTGTAAGGCCTGCTGTAAGACTTCAAATTCAGACCTTGCACAACAAAAAATTGGACCGAGCAGTGGAAAATTAATATAGTTTATGATACAATAGTGATTTACTCAACAATCATAAACATTCCTAAACAAATGAAGACAAAACAGGCTTTTAGACACCCTCACCAAATCCCAGTTTGAAGAACCTGGCCAGTCTGTTGAATTGCTGATTACTATTCAGCAATGTGGATGCCCCCCTGGCATGGGAGGATACTATTGTGAGATAGTGTTCAATGGGCAGTCATTATCTTTCCAGTCCTCATCCCTGCATTTTAAGGTTGAGGAATACTTATGAACAACAGAATCTTGCAACAATGATTCTGAGATCAATAAATTGTTAACACAAATGTTCTGACTGTTACCCAATTCTCAAAACTGATACCTAATTCTTAAATGTTCCAACTGTTACCCAATTCAAAAGTAGTCACATGACAAGGTGATCCTACTCCAATTTTACATACTACAGATCTTTTGCATTGGTAATCTACAGTACCCCAGGGCATTCTTATGTTCAAGATTATTGAAAGTTACAACTTTACAGATTTTTGGATGACCTGGCTTCTCACCTGTAACCTTTACTTGGGAGAGAAAGTTCTTAAGGATAGCTCCAGAAACATATCTGCAAAGACCAAATGAAGAGCAAGGAGTGTGTACCCAAAATACTTCTAGATAGTGTCCACAGCAAAAACCATTTCTTTGATCCTTTTGTTGCACAACTGCATGCATGTCATGCACACCAACATGCATGGCAACTTGTGATGAATGGAATGGTTAGCTTTCTCAGCCATAAAGTAACATCCTTTGCAGCTTAAATCCTTCATGGGCATTTTTTGAGTCCAAAAAATATATACAACAACTACAATTGCCTGGTAGATGTCACTCAGATTCCTTCAAAACATAACATGCAAAAATCAAAGCAGCACAACTTTTCCTTCATTTTTTTTCTTGAAGTAGAAAGTATTATCAGAAGTCTTGAAGTTTTTTAGTGGTGCTGAAGTCTCTAAGAAGTTGCAGAAGACTCAAGCACTTCATAGATACGCCATCTTCAGGGTATGTAATTCAAGAAATAATCCAGGTCATTCTCAAGTAATCGCATGATTTTGAGATGCTGAACTCAGCAAGTAATCACTAAACCTGACTCACACCAAGAAATTCCATTATGCAAATTGATAACCAAATCCACTGTAATCAGCTACACCCACCACATACAGCCCAAGTATGCTGAGACAGAAAAAAGACGGTCAGTACTCAGTTTGGTTTTGGAAACTCATAGCCAGGAAAAGCCTGGAAAAAGTGATTAAACAAACATTATTTATTACACACAAATTTACCTAGTATAGTAATCCGCCTAGATTGTGAACTCCATAGGATGCATGAGCCATAATTTTGATTAGTCAGCTTGTGAATTCAGTGGTTTGATAGTAGAAATCTTTTGGAAGACAGAAACCACATTCAACTCAGTTGTAACAGTCTCTCATATTCCCAGCTTGTGTCAATTTTGATAGTCAAATTTTCTGACTAGTTTTAGATTATTAAAAGAAAAGTGTCACAAGATGGAGTGGATGTGTTCCAATTAGGTGGCAATTTTTGATTGGTTCAGGTGGAATTCAAGTTCAACATAAGCTGGTTGAATTCTAGTTACCTCATCTACATATTAACATCTATAGGTAGCACAAAATCAGGTGAAGCTTGATAGCATAATTAGATACAACACTTCTTGATTATGAGAAAAAAAAGATTCTCAATTTTGTAACCCACCATTGATCACAATTAAGTTGACTTATATGTCAGATTTGGATTGAAGGGAATCCTCGGCTAAAACAATTGTAGAATTTATGTTTTTGGAGCAAATTGTGCATAAATACTTAAAATCCTTCTGATTTCTATTTTTCTACATGAAAATATGTTTCTTTCATTTTTACACTAACCACATATATATTGAGATGCTTAAATTTTTGGAAATGGGTCAGCTACTTTATCCCTCTTTATAGTATAAAAGAGCTCATATTTCTAAAAAAGCTTATTTATAAGTATTTTACACCTACAACTAAATGGTTTTTCAAAAAAAGTTTTTATAATAATAAAATGTCAAAATTCTATCTCCCAATACATGGATCTACTTTTATAGAAAATAGAGACAATTGGGATGTTATGTTTGAAAAGAAAAAAAATATAGTCACTAAGAAACTAGTGCCAAATTGGACACTGAAGAGAATAAATATTTGTAATAAATATTCATCAATCTCAAGAATTTTATCATATTCATTTTTATTTTTATTTTTATTTTTTGGTAGAACTCCATATGAAGGTTGTAAACCAATGATGAAAATAGTCCAAAGTTAATAAGAATTGCCGTAATGAGGAAAATGTGTTATTTTTAAACAAAAAATTATTTATAAAACTATTAGCAAAAGAAAATTAGCTTTGACAATTTTAATTTCATCCAAGTTTGATTTCAACACCTGATGAGTAGCTAGTTTACTCCTTGTGAAGCACACAAGTTTTTTAAACATTTTTTTCTTCACATTTGGTAATTAATGGTCTTCAGATCATGTGGACAATCTTACTTAGTTTTATAATTTAAGAAGTAAAGAAATGAAAATTGAATTAATCATAAAAATGTCTTAAACAAACAAATGAATAAGTGTGATAAATATAATAAACTAATAAGAAAAAAAACCAAAATAGTATGAAAATAAATAAATAAGAAATTTGAGAGATTAAAGAAGCTAGTCCGTAAGAAACTTAAGAATTTAATAAAGGCATGTTTCTTAATATTTGATATTAATTCTTAGAAGCAGCATTTAAGTGCAGGAAGGGTCTGTTGGGGGAAGGAGATGAGGTTCCAGGGCCAATCAACGAGGTGGAATCCGGCCGAGGACCAGACTCGATTCCAGGTGGAATGGGCGTGGGCCACAGTGGGCGACGTGGCGGGGAGGGAGGGAGGGAGGGGAACTGTATGAAGGGGCAGGAAGCGGGCCGGGCAAAGCGGGGTGCTTGTCTTTCTTTCTTTCTTTCTTTCTTTATTTCTTTCTGTTTCTTCCTCCTCCTTTTCTTTGTTATCCCTTTGGTCTCGTTGCTGTTCGTCGTCGTCGTCGCCGTCCTTCTTCCGTCCGTGCCTCAGTGGTCGCTCCAGGCCATCCTCGTCCTCCTCGTCCTCCTCGTCCTCCCTCCCTCGCTTGCACGGCGCAGCACCAGCAGCACCAGACGAGGACGACGAGGAGCTCTGTTTTTTCTTTCTCTCTCACTCTCTCGCAAGCCCTCCTTCTCTCCCTCCTCGCTGCGGAAGGGGCTTCTTTCCTTTTTCTTCTGTCGGAATGGCTTCTAGGATTCTCCGCTCTATCCTCTGTTGTCTCCTCGCATGGTTGTAGCGGGGCCTTCTCGACGCGGAGCATCCTCGCCTGAGTTCAATCAAAGGCCCCTTCCCTAGGGTTTGGAGGGTCTTGGGCGTGATTCGCTTCGTTTGGAAAGTGGACGACGCGACATGAATTCGAGCTTATGCTTGAGGCTCAGCTGACGCACAGATTGTTTGCTCTCTTTTCAACCGAGCTTCAGCAGTCTCTTCGCTGCAGGGAAGAGGAAAATGAATCGGGGTTCGAACAGGCTTAGTTCCTTCAGTGAATTTCGTGCACCGTGCTATGGAAGGAACTCCAGAAGGTCAAGAGAAAGGAGGAGCTGCGGCTGGGAATGGCAAGGGGGAGATTGTGAAGGCCAAGGTTGTGGAATGGGAGGAATTTCAGGATGTCCTTGCGCAAATGTGCGGCAGGGGATTGGTTTTGAAGAAGTCTTTAGTGGATAGAGAAGCACTGTCGCAGCAGCTGGAGGCCGCACTGGAGGTAATTTCTTTTCTCGCACTCTGCATGAGTTTGATGGGCCTGTGTGCAAAGATTCTGGCACGGATGTATTCATGTGTGTACCACTGATTATGTCTCGGAAAGCTGTCTGCATAGCGGTTCCTGTGAGTTTTGGATGGTGGGATTTCCAATGTGGAAACACATGAAATGTTGGCTAGTCAGAATCGGGGAACTGTTCGTCGATTTTGTATTTGCAGAATTAGGGCTTGTCACTGAGTGTGGAAATACTGCTAGTGAGCTTGGTATGTAATCTGAAAATCAGGTAGGCGGATGGTACGTGGGCCTGCCTATGTCAGCCGTTGCATGGGTTTTATTGAATGGTGTCTTGACTTTGCCCGACGTTTCATTCTGGGTGCAGCTCCTTCTAGACCCATCTATGGGTTCAGTATTGCATTAATGAATAGAGTATGAGCCGGTAGTGTGTTTTCCACACACCCGTATCGGTCTTACTACCTTGATCATTTTCTTAGTTCTAAAATAGAGGATAATTTGAAGCTATTGGAATAACTTCAAATTTGGGTCTAAGCCTAGTGTATCAAAATTCATACTGTGAACATTTGCTTGGAAGCAAGATTAATGCTTTCGTGAGTACACTACTTGTGTAACCTCCAGTGCAGCTTGGATGGCTCAACACTTCTGAATACGCAGCTTTGCAAACCGATGCAACTTTGGTTACTACCTTCTGCTAAGGGTTCATTTGTTGAAAGAAGGGCAACTAAATCTGAGAGCATTTCGGTTCGCTCAGATTGTCAAATTGCACGGGCATGTCCATCCCTTGCGATTTGTTGGTTTTCTTCTTCCTTGTAAACTAAATACTACTCCAAGAGTGTTGAGCTTGTAGTTTATGCTGCGAAGGGTTATACGGATCGTTTCTAAATTGCACTTTCTCCTCAGTTGGTTCTTGGTTGTCTCATTATGTCACGACAGTTCCATCGTTGCTCTGGCACGAGGACGCGCTAATGCAAGATGCAGATAGGTTTGCGATTGATGGAGGACGGGTTATTATGTTTTATGCCGCTAGTGGTTTAGCCTTGGTAGAACTGCTTAACTTTCTCACAACGGGTGGCAATGTCTAGATTCGGAAAGTGTCTTTGGAACGGGTGGATGCTCTTGAAGCCATGCATCGACAGGTTCATGCAAAGAATCTTAGACTGAAGAGCGCTCAAGAAGCATTGCGCAATCTTAGGGAAGAGCTTGCAAAAAAGACGGGGTTTCTGGAACCATCTACTCGGACTCTGCACATTGCTTTCAGAGCTGTGGCAGATGCCCAGCGTCGCTTGCAGGTGATGTATCTTGGCAACCTACCAAAACTCAGTTCCTGTCACTTTGGGCAGCTGGTTCTGGTTGTCTTAGCTTGCTCTCAATGGAGCAGTCCGTAAGATTTGCTTACTGACGTTCTCAATCAAGGTCATGGTAATAATGCAAAGACTGTGTATCTAACTCAACTCTTCCCAGTGCGCCGTATCGAAATCATCATCGGTAACTCTACTGCTGGGTCGTATCCCATATGGCTGTAATCAAAGTTTATTTACTGTCGTGCCAAATGATCTCACGAGCGAGTGTTGTCAAATTTAGGTCGCAAAATCATTATTAGCCGGTGATGGTGGGCTTGAGAGGCTGCGAAAGCTTTGTTACTCACTTGATTCGAGGAGACGGAGAATGCTGGCTCAGCTTGCTTTTGTCTATCCCCTAGCCTCGTTGAAACCCGAAAATTCGACTTCGCAAGGTTAGTAAAGTTTCTGCATGATTTTTGGAATTGTTGTATTTTTTCAAGAATCGCAACTTCTTCTCGACAAGGTAGGAGTTCGAGGCCTGACTAGTTCTGCAGAGAAATGGTCATGCAACCATTGGGGTTGTTATTTCTCATAGTAAAATCTTTATGCAACATATGAGCGCAGGGGTTGAAAGGGAGACTGCAAACAAGGACGGTTCATCTTTGATCATAGCGGGCATGCCTCTATCGGAACCAGGAAAGAAGCTGACAGGACATGCCAAGGACAAGAGTGAAAGCGACATGTCTGCAACTGCCCTTGGATATGTTGGTCATGTAAGCAACTTCTTTATAAGCTTTCTGCTTTTTGGGCTGGTCTGCCCGTTGGTGGCATGTGCATTCGTAGTTTGTTACTGATCGACAGTTGTGGGTGAAGCAGATGGTAACCCTGGTAGCACAATACCTTGATGTACAATTGCGATACCCTATTCGTCAAATGGCTTCACGATCCTTCATTCAAGACTATTGCCCAGCCATTGAGCCTGCAGTGGATGCTGTAACAGCTGCAGTTGCTCCACAGTATGGCTCCCAAAGAACTGTTGAATTTCCTTTATTCTCTGAGGGTCAGGATACGACGAGGTCAGCATATGCGGTGTTTTTGCTAAATAAGGTGCTGGATACTCTCTTAATGACTGGTAGCTTGTGTCTTTGCTTTAATTCGATTCTGTGGTCATACAATGTGATGATTTTTTATCTATCGAAATACCAACAAGTATCATCAAGTATGTCTGGAGTCATTAAGAATGGCGGGTTGTAATCATATCTACTGCAGCAAACATGCCAAAAGTAATTCGTAGTCAATTAGTTTTACAGAAGCTTGGAATCTGTTTGTACTTTGAGGACTTTTTTTCTAGTTGTGAGTGGTATGCTGCGTGGTACAATGTGCACCTTATGGATACTTGCATCTGAATTATAATTGATGTTTGTAATTAAAGTAATGTGAGTTGTGACTGCAGGACTTGGAGCAGATTTTGAATCATCTAGGATTAGAAAGCGTGGGACCTCGCCACACGTTGTTGAATCTAGAGAAACTCCTAAAGGTAGTCTTCTCTCGGAAATATTCGCTAGCTTAGAAGACAGTACTCTACTTTCTTTCTTCTTTATTTATGAAAATGACTGAAGTCATGGGACACAAAGAGTTGTGGATATTGTGTATACTGTAAGAAGAAAGATCATTGTACAGGCAAATATGGGGTTTATTTTACCATTGTCTTGTGCAATTGTGATTTAATTAAAAGTGGTTTGTTCGAGATATTCATGTAGTTTAGGTTTGGACGAATTGATGCTTGTGGACCATTGTTTAAGCTTGGCGATTCCTTGTTGGGAGCATGGCAGCTTTTGTCCTGTAGCATTCATTGCTTATTGTCTGAGTTGATTATAGTTCCCTGTAAGATTATGTGAATTTCCGTCATTGTAACGAGGTAGCAGCGCACCCTTCCTTTTTTCGTCAGTTCTTCAAGATTGTTTTAAATGCACATGTGCGTGAGAGACCACTTGATTACTGAGCAATGATACGTGGCTTTGACTTTTTTATGATCTATGCAGGGTCTTGAAACCACTGACATCAGTTAATACAAGGGGCACTCTATGGCATCAACTGGGCTAAAAGTGTCATTCCTAGGATTCTGATATTTTATGAAATGTTTGCAATCGTATCCAGAGTAATCTTCCTTCTATGCGAATTGTTTTTATTTTTATTTTTATTATTGTGCAAAGAAATCAACTTACTATGACAGTAGTCCACTCACACATGGAATTTGCTCAGATATGATACAAATTTTATAGAATATTATTGATTCAATAGAGATGTACATGCTCTTGAGATATGAAATAGAGGATTTTTCTTACTTTTAAAGTTTAATTAATGAAAATTAGGATATCCACTCTATGTTCAAAACTTCATGCAACAACATTCAAACAAGAGAAGTAAAACTTTAAAAATAAAAATAAAATTAATAGTTATTTCAGCTTAAATGCTTTTAATTTGAGAAATGGGAAATGATTTTGATTTCCCCCATGTTGTAATGTGATGAAATTTTTATTCTAAATGAAATATAATATATTAAAAATATTCACACTTATACATTTAAGAATTAAAAAAATATGTATCTTATTTTAGATGTCACAATTTGATTAGAACTTCTTACAATTTCCACCTTAGTCTATCACAAACAAAACATTCCAAATAAAAATAATTGACCATACCATTGGATTTAGAAATGCAAGGTAGCCAAGCCAGAAGAAACAAATTACAACCTCCAAATGTCAACTTATAGCTGTTTGCTTGCTTGCCAAATCTACTCATATAGAGTCATCTCATTTTTTGTGTTTTCTTTTTTCTTTTTTAATATTCTTGTGTGATACTTTTCTTCTATTTCTGCATCCAAAAAAAAAATAAAATAAAATAAAAAAATATATATATATATATATATATTTTGTTTGGAGGCCAAGAAGGAATTGGGGCATCAGTGTGGGGTGTTTTTGCCCATGCACAAGAAAAATCAAGCAAGCTCGCTCCTGCCAATTTCATAGGATTACCCAACTTTCTACAGGTTGTAGAGACAGGCTCTTTTTTAATTCATGAACTGAATCATTGCACAAGCAAATTCAAATTGGTTGCAGCGATATCCATATATTCTTTCACCAATTCAAAGATAAAGGTATTTAGAAAAGAAGAATAATTTTAACTTGATTTCATTAAATTTATGACCTTCAATGTTATTCTTGCAATATCTAGATTTACATCTTTACATAGTATGCAATTTAATCCAAGGATCCATCACTTGTATCCTTCAACCAATTTGATTATTACTGAAAAGGGATGTACAACATTTTATTTCTATAGAATGAAGAATTGGACAACTGTAAAGACCTCTTGTATTGAACATCTACAAATTAAATCTTTTTGCCAAGTGAACTTCTTTTAAACTTGGATTTTTTAAAGCTTTATTGGCTCTAAATCAAAGTCAAGGAGGCATTCTATAGATATGATCTTATTTTACATTTAAATGGAGAAAGTTTGTAGATGTCCTTATATAAATTATTTTCCATCTACTAACTTGATTATTGGTGATGAGTTAATTAATGGATGCTAGTAGAATATTATGCATTAGAAGATTAATAGTAGATTATTACTCTCTTTGTGGTTATAGCTCAAAAATGAATCTCTTTGAAGGGAAGAACTAGCATAAAGAGGATTGGATAGAAGATAATTCCTAGCAAGGAGAGGTGATAAGAAGACGTTTTGGTGTAAATGAATTTAAGGCAAAGTGTTCAGTTTGCAATCTTTCCTGATTGGATGTTATGTACAAGCAATGTGTAAATTATTTAAAGTGGAACTTAATGGAATGATAGCATGTTGCAAACTTAATTTAGAAGTTGGCAACGTTGTGTTTGCAACTTGGGGTGTATGAGAGGCGGTTTCAACATGGATGTACGAACATTAAAAATTTCATGGTAAGATTAGTTTGGAGCAATGATTTTAAAAAGAAATTTAGAATGGTAATGAAACATTTCTTAAGCTAAAATTTAATTGATTGATTTGATAGTTTGAATGAAGAAATCTTAATTGATACTTCATTGTTGGCGAACAGCACTTTTGACTCGTCAGAAACAAAATAGAGCCATTTTTTTGTGAAAGTTGTAACGCGCAGATTTGTGCTTTAGAGAAGACAACATTTTAGATGTTGATATATTGTTTGCATTCTTTTCAAATCATCAGTTCATGATTCTATAGATTTACATTCTGGGGTTGATACTTTGAATTTCAGTTCAGGTTAAAGAAGGGATTTAAAAAGTGACCTTGTGTATGTTTATAACCGGATTTGTTTATTTAAATACAAGCATGGTGTTCTTTGGTTATAATTTACTCTTTTCATTTTATTTTATTTTTCCTTCTTTGTGCACATATGTTTTTTTCATTAATACTTAATAGCCGCCGATTTTATTTCGATACTCAGTTTTTGAAAAATTCGTACAACACTTCACTGATAATGAGTTTTTTCTTGCATAGAATTCAATTCTATTGCTTTTAGTTCAATAGGTCCATACACAAATCTTTCGGCTGCCCAAACTAGAAAATCTGATTTTATTTTACACTTTAAATCTATTAAAGTAAGATGGAATATTGTGAAAAAAACCCTAAGGATTTTTATTTACTTAATTATTTATTTAATTCCATAGATTGAAAAGACTATTGTAAAGAAGAAACGGCAAAATACATGCAATATCATAAATGCAAGTGTACTGTATTTTGTTTAGAATAATGCTTCATAATCATTTTGATTAACAGTGAAATAATACAAATAACAATAAACACCACGATAATGGGAAATTTTATTTATATGATATCTATGAAATTGGAGGGGGGGGGGGTTTCCTCGCATTGATTAGTCAACTCTTCTTCTATTCCCTTCCTCCTATCATTGTCTGTCCTGCTCCTGTAGCTCTCCCCTCCCTCCTCCATGAAAGAAAGGCCATGGCTCTTCTGCCTGTGGCCATGGCCGCCCCCTCCTTTCGTCTCCTCCTCCTCCATACCATAGCCGTCGCTTCCCTCTCCGGTCTCCTCCACCAAATCATCCTTCAAACGTTTTTCTGAACCCATCCTTATTGATTCCTCATCCCTCTTCGTTTTTTCCTTCTTGGCTCCAATCCTAGGCGCCTATCGTGTCTACTTTCTCCCTGGTTCGCGAGCAATTATGAGTTGTGAAATCAACACCCAGTGCTTCCCCGACGTGATACCAGCATCATCCAACTCTTGAACTGCAAGTAAGCTTAGCCGGGGGCAAGGTTATCCATGAAACATATGATCGCAGCAGTTCCAAAAGGTATCTCCAACCCTTTGCGCTATCTCTGTTAATTTTATATCATTGCCTCTTAGTAGGACTTATGATCCCTACAACATCATTATTCCGTTTTGCTTAAGTGGCTCTATTAGCATCATTTCACTTCTCTTTCTATTCTGCCTTGCATCGCCAACTATTTAAGTGGACTGCAGGCGTTCTATTTAACTTCGCACATCTCTTTGCCAGCTGCAATTTGATTAATCAGCAACATGTTCAGAAATTCCATAGGATTCCAACCACTTCAAGACGTATGCCTCCATAAAAGATGCAAAGGTCACGATGGCTGCCATCGAAGATACTGCAAAATAAGACATTCTTTCAGCTAATGAAAGTTTACTGTATGGCGTTCCAATTGAGAGAGTTCTCCAGCATAAATTCTTTCAGTTTTGGAAAGTATCCTCGAATCCAGTCTCACATGCTCTTACTGTTTTTATTTGCATTCATAACGGTTGTAGCCCTCTTCACCTCCGTCACGCATATCTCGGGGCGAGACGTTGGTGCAGCATCAGTGGCTATTGCAGGGTTAGGGCGAGGGAGAAAACCCCATTTATACAGAAGTAATATCACCAATGACAGTACTTTCCTGGCATTCATGATATCTGAGCCTGATGTGGAGCACGAGAAGGCTGCGATTTAAGAGGTTTTAGAGGGGAGCAATGATCCACACCATAGGCTGCGAGGTAGAGCTGGAAGTTGGCCGTCGCGGCTACCTACACCACGGTATGCTCCATTCTGGTCGCAGTTTCGAGCTCTACTGCGAACATGGGTGGCAATGAAGTGGTACGATCCTAAGATAATGCAGAGCTTGGTAACAATGATTAAGGGGCCCATTGATCGGCATCATCATCGTAGTAATCGTAAGAAAAGACTATATGGAACCTGTGCAGTGGTGGGCAATAATGGAATCCTGTTAAACAGTACGTTCGGGAAGGCGATTGACGCACATAAGGTGGTTGTGCGGCTAAATAACGCAAGGATAAAAGGATTTGAGAAGCATCTGGGAGGAAAGACAACTATTGCGTTCATGAATAGCAACATTCTGCACAAATGTGCACGTCGGGTGCGTTGCTACTGCCACCCTTACGGAGACGATATTTCGATCGTGATGTATGTCAGCCAGGTGCCTCACTTAATGGACATGGCTATGTGTGACCCTGTGCACGCGGCGCCTCTACTGACCGATCCTCGTTTTGATGCTCTGACATCGTGCATTGCAAAGTGGTACTCGGTGCACGAGTTCGTGGAGCAAACTGGGAAGGTAGTGAATGAATGGCCATGGGTGCAAGGGTTTCACTACTCGTCAGGCATGCAGGCGGTGATGCTTGCACTGGGCATCTGTGAGGAGGTTGATCTTTATGGATTCGAAAAAGGAATAGGTACAAACAAGACTATGTCTAGGCATCACTACCACACGGCGCAACGAAAAGAACTTCACATACATGATTATGAAGCGGAGTATGTCTTCTATGATGACCTTGTCATCGCATCTCACTCGAATAGCGGGAGTAATCATTCGATACCTTTCCTTTGTGATGCGGGAATTCGCATTCATATTGTGCGCGTGTTTGGCGGATAGTTTTATTGGTCAACAGTAAGATTGCTAATTCCAGTATCGATGAACATGGCGAACAAGATTAATGTCTTGGTTGGGTATATGGAGAATTCAATGACCTTGAGTCTGCTTGGTCCAATCTACTGTTTCCACTTAGGGACTTGGTTGGGCTTGCATTGTTTAGTAGAACGTGGATGGGATTGTGGCATCCATATTTTGTAGCTAAGTGGTTGTTCAATTCACAATATTTGTGTGGAATGTTTTGTGCATCTTACGTAGTCTAGTTTAATTGGTGCAAGGACTCCAGAGAAACCTTGTCGTTGCAGTTGTGGTTGGGAATGCATACTGGTGTGACTCATTGAATCGTGATCAAATCTCGTACATTCTTATTGATACCAGAAGGGACTCATTTAGGGTGTCAGGATTCAATAGCGAGAAAATTAATCCAATTTGATAATGATAAAC